TGCCAGACCGTTCGGGTCGGTTGCGTCCTTTTCCCCGGCTTGGGGGCCGCGGAGGGTCATCCAAAGGGGCTGTTGCAGACGGGAGGCGAAAAAAGCCTCGCGCGCGGCCTCCGTCGGGGTTGCGACGTTGCGGACGACGTCGAAGACGTGATCCCGAATGAAGGGGTGCACCCGCTCGGCAAAGCCGCCGCCGAAAAGGCCCACCACGACCAACCGCCGCAGCCCCAGTTCGCCGCATTCCTCGCTTGAGAAGAGGCCGGGGCTGCCGCGGAGAAGGCTGTATAAATCCGAAAAAAGCGCAGGGTGACGGCTGGAAGATGGTACACGGCCGGTTTCGTCGCCATTTTTGATAATCCCGCTCAATTCACTATCTTCGTCAGACTCCGTGAAAAATTGCAGGTGGTCGATGACTAATAAAACGGTATGTTCAGGTGTGATGTCGCTATTTGTATCGTTTTTTATGGATTCCTTAATGGCATTTGAAATACCCCTTTTTAGAAGACGACGTAATCCGGTGTTGCCTTCTCTTGTGCGTACGGATAGGGCGGGTGCAATAGATGGCATAAAGGTGATGAACGGCACATCTTTACCCTTTTCAGAACTTTCCTTCTTCTCCCATACATTCCAGCTGCTATTTAAATCACGAAGGGATCGAATAAGGTATGTTTTTCCTACTCGAGGCGGCCCGCAGAGGAGGACCGAGGGTATCGAAACATCAGGGGAATCTGGCCAATAGAGAAGGAGGGATAGCAAGAGTTGCTGCAATAAGGCAAACGGAGTCGGAGGTTTATCGTCTAATGAAATCGACTCCCTGACCGATGTGTCTTTGATTTCCGGACTATCCTTTGCCACCTCCATTGCCCCTAGCAATATGACTAAATCCGTTAGGAATCACAAATAGGAAGAAGTAAATGTTAATATACGAAATCGGGCATACTTTTTGTGTTATTGAAACAGAATTCATCGGTATCCGTAATCCAATATAAAAATAATTTCATTGATAATTTTTTTTCCACGCATCATTCTGACACTTTTTTATCATGACAAGTGAACCATGACATTTATTGCTATTCCCTCTCCCCTCTTCAGACACATAAACACACTTCCTTTTCCTTCTTCTGCAGGGCAATCGATCCGTCCTTGTTGTTATAAAAAGGGCATAAACATCGTTTCCCCGTTCGACATCTCAACCAATAGGGCATCCTGAGAAGGCATCAAAGAAACTACGCTGAGGCCTGTCGCATTTTGGCGGGTGTCAGTCCAGGAGACCCGTTGAATAGCTCTGAGCGAGCGGACGGAGGAAAACGTCAGTAAGAACTCCGTCTTGAGCGTCGCCCCGAGTCTGGGCTCCACAAAAAGAGGTGAATCGACGTCATCGTGGTACGTCGAGTGTGAAGGTTGCGTGTGAACGAAATGGCAACTCCCATGGAGAAAAGTACAACGAACTAGAAAGTTAAGAATTCCATTTCCCAAACGCATAGAACCCCCGTTGTTTGTGGATTCGGAATGAAATGCGTTATTTCCACTGTTTGGGTACAATTCAAATCCTTGCGCGCGTGAGCTAATCCTCGACGTCTGCGTGCGGGCAATGATAGCATCAGGGGAGGGCAGCTCGTCAAAACCACATGACGAAAAAGACCTGTGAGGACAAGATTTCGCTGAGGAGGTGTGGAGAGGTCTATGATGCCCGCTCTCTGTTTTCTCGAGCTCGGCGATGGTCATAAGTGCGCTGCGTCCGTTGCTGTCAACCATTCCGATCACACCGAAGGTATCCTTACTATGCTGCATATCTACAATAGGCCCTCCGGTAGGAATTGTGAAGGAGCCGGCTAGCATACTTCGCGCTTCAGCCTCGGCGGTGGAGGTTCTGCCGCGCTTCTGCCGCACGATGCCTCCCGATCCACCTTCCACAATGGGCATGCGGAGATCTGCAACCACAACGCTCCCACGCGACTCCGCAAGCCCGCAAACCACGCGATAATTCTCCCACAAAGAACAGCAGGAGAGAACCCCGGCCGTTGACCGCGCGGCGCGTTTCTGGTTAGGCGCGTTCAGCCATGGTGGCTGTGGGACCGCCGTAATAAGCGCCGCTCTTCCCTTTTCTTCGCCTCCCGCGCTCGGCGGCGGCTCCCGCCAGTCGTACAGTCGAATCTGACCGCCGGAGAACCCCACCACGCAGCCGTGTGCCCCCCAAGCATCCACCGTCAGCGCGTTCTGTGTTATTAAGTCCTCAAAAGGGATCTCGCCCACCTCCTCCAGCTCGCTGCCCCTTTTAAGATCCACCAGGTGGAGGCTGTGGGAGGAGAGCGCCAGGACCCCGGGCTCTGCGGGGTGTCCGGTGGTGTACACCCGTCGTAGTGTCGAATCCTCGCCAAGAGCGCGACGGCTGAGACAGCGCCAGGGGGAGGTGTGACGGATCGCGTGGTGGGCACAGGCCCCTGAGGCGGCGGCGGTGC